CTTGGGCGCTCTCTCTCTCCCACACACACACACACACACACACACACACACACGGAGAAAGAGAGAGAGAGAGAGCCGTGAGGTCTGGACCTTGAACTGTGTTCGGCCACTTGCTGGCCTGGATTTTATTTATTTTAATTGACCACCTCTGAAAAACTAAAGGGATTCATCTCTTGTCTACCTTACCAAAATACCTTCTCCTCCATTCTCCTCTTGGGATTTTGGGCACATGCAAGTATGTCAGGTGTATTTTTCAAGTCACCAGGTCTGGGACTCCAACTACACAGTTGGTCATGTGGAATCGAGCCACCTTAACCACCATGCCACCAGCTGGCCCTGTCTGTACCTTTTTTAGAAGCTGCTACATACCATTGAAAGAAACTTTCCTGTTTAATTTGTCTGGTTCTCAGCCCAGTTTTTTTCCAACTGTGTGTGTAAATATGCCAATTTAGGGACTTAGAAAGACTCCACACATGCACACACACTTTGGCCAAAATAATTTGGAGGTCTTGTCAAGTTAAGTGAGCCTATTTTCCTAATATTTTCAGGATAGAACTCCGTAAGAGTTTTGCATAAAACCAGCTGATATTTCTATAGGGGACTGCCAAGGCTCAGTTATTGATGAACTATTTCCCATAATTTTAGAAGCCTTTTGTTTTTCAAAAGGCAACCAAGACTAAAAGTGTATTAGATCAAAATCCAAACCACAAAGTTTAGTGAGCCGTAGCCGTAGCCTTTAAAAGGCTTTATATAAAAGCCGAAATTTCATTCATGATAAAAACTGCATAACTTGTTTTTTAAAGTTACTTATTTAATTTTATTTATTCATTTATTTATTTTAATTTGACCAGAGAGATACACACACACAGAGAGAGAGGGAAAGTGAGAAATCAAGCCACCAAGTCCGGGACCTGAACCGTGGTTGGTCATGTGGGAGTGTCCAGCACCTTAACCACCATGCCACCTGCTGGCCCCCAAAACTGCCATAACTTGTAACCTGAATCACCATGGATATGAAAAAAACTTTTACCTAAATCTCCACCTTAAAAGACAGGGGTGAGGGACTAGCAGATGGCATAATTGTCACATCACTGGACTCCCATGTAGTCAACCATGGTTCAAGTCCTGAACCTAATGGCTTAATACTCATGCTGGGCACATGTGCATGTGTGCCCAAAATCGCAAGAGGAGAATGGAGGAGAACAGATTGCAGGGTGGTCATCCTTCCATGAGTTGATTTCTCACTTTCTGTCTCTCTCTCTAGTGAGCACACATGTCCTATAGCAAAAATCTCTCTAAACGAACAAAAAAGGACAGGGGTGAAAAGGCAAAAACCTGTCTACTACCCAAGAGTAGAGATGGCAAAACTCCTTCCTCATCAGGGAATTGTTTCTAAAATTCAAATAAACCAGTTCTGGTTCCAGGCTCAGGAGAGACTCACCCTTGAACCCATTGAAACTTCTGGAGTCAGGAGAATACAAAGGGTACAAAGCCAGTACTGAGGTACTGAGTTCAAATGGAAATGCCAGATGTTCAGGGAGTCAGTGCTCTGAGTCCCATTTCTGGGTCTACAAGAGATGGCAACCTAAAAGGAAAGCTGAGGTATAATAAGTGAAATGAAAGTGGTTTATTTTAACCAGGGCTGAGGACACATTCATGTGGATAACCACTCTGTTATACCAGGAATGTGCTCATGAAAATGGCACCTGAGAAAACTGGCTTATTAAAAGAGAGAGAGAGAGAGAGAGAGAGAGAGAGAGAAGCCAGAAGAGGGCAGGATACAA